TGTGCAGGAGGAGGAAGAGGGTGTCTGTGCCCCATGTGTGAGGCAGCTCTGTCCCCCTGCCCTGACCAGAGCCTCACTTGCAGTCACAGGGGCTGTTGGGAGGGAACAGGGGGCAGTGGTGTTGTCATGATTCCTGTGTGTTCTCTGTAGGTGGGGGTTTGTCTGCCACTGCAGCAGTCTGGGTTTCCTTGCACTTAGGGCTGGCTGGGGTGGTGGGTACAGGGTGTCCCATGAGGTGGCAGAGCCTCATGAGGGCCAGGCAGGGACGGGACCTGATTGCTGAGCCAAAAGGGAAACTGAAAAAGCTGCTGTGGGTGACGAGCGACTCTTCCGCTCCACAGCCACCGCACAGCAAGTGTTGATGCACTGTGCCCGGGGAGGTCCTTTGCCCCAGAGAGGGTTGTGCTGGCACAGTCAGGGTGGGCTGTGCCATTCTGCAGTCAGGACAGAGTGGTGTTCATGATGGCTGTGCCACCTCTGACCACACATCAGCCCAGCCGTGGTTCCTCGTGCTCCCGGCGCAGTCTGGAACAGGGCTGCAGCACTGGTGGCTCATTACTGCTCCTGGCAGTCACACAACTGTCAGCTGTTGCTGGCTCCATATAGAACAGACCCCAGACGCGTGCCCAGGGCTCTGTGCAGACCGAGGGGCCTCTCTGGGCATCTGGGCTCCCCTCCTTAACCCCGTGGAATGCAGTGTTGGCTCTGATGGGTGGGAGAGGGGTCAGGGCTCCAGCAACGGGTGGCTGCTGATGGCTTCTCTCTCCCCTCAGCACTGCTGTACAAACCCATTGACCGAGTGACACGGAGCACCCTCGTCCTACACGTGAGTGTGACACCAGTCCCGGGGTGGTGGTGTGGGGCTCTGTCTCTGTTGCTCCTGGGGAGCACTGCTGGGGGTTCTCCAGGCTGGGTGCTCTTAAGCTGCTCACCTGCACCTGGTTCCTTCCAGGACCTCCTCAAACACACTCCAGCTGACCACCCCGACTACCCACTGCTCCAGGATGCGCTCCGCATCTCTCAGAACTTCCTCTCCAGCATCAATGAGGACATCGATCCCCGGAGGACAGCGGTCACCACCCCCAAGGGCGAGGTGAGCCAGCGGGGTGGGCACTGGATGGGCGCAGGATGAGGGCTGAGCCCTCTGCCAGCCCCTGGCTGTTGTCCCCACCTTGAGATGCTCCATGGCCAGGAGATGGAGGGGTTCCTCTACATGCAGTTCTGGGTACAAGGTTAGGGCTTTACCTCATCCTTGCTGCTTGCTGGTGACCTACTCAGCATACGTGACTCAAAATAGCACCCAGAGCACATGGACCTTCCCATGCTCCTGGTGGCTGAGCCACAGAGGGGAGCACCCACTCCCCATATTCTGTTGGCCTTTGCTCCCTGCCTGCTCTCATGGCAGCCCCACTGCCCCACAGACCCGGCAGCTCATCAAGGATGGCTTCTTGGTGGAGCTGTCAGAGGGCTCACGGAAGCTGCGGCACGTCTTCCTCTTCACCGACGTGCTGCTCTGTGCCAAGCTGAAGAAGACAGCAGTGGGGTAAGGAGGGCACTGGGCACAGGGGGAATGTGTTGCCACTCCCCTGTCCTCCAGTGGCTGGGGGATGTGCTGAGATGGGGGAAAGGCATCAGTCACCATCTGTGCCCTGTGTGCAGGAAGCACCAGCAGTACGACTGCAAGTGGTATGTGCCCCTGGCCGACCTGGTGTTCCCCTCACCGGAGGAGTCGGAGCACTGCCCACAGGTCCATGTCATCCCTGACCACGAGCTGGAGGACATGAAGATGAAGATCTCTGCCATCAAGAGTGAGGTGCAAAAGGAGGTGAGAGGAGGTTGTGGGAACTGCTGCCAGGGCGGGTGCCTTCCTCTGGATCAGGGATGGGACATAGGGGACAGGGGCACCTGTGGAAGCTCCTCTCTGTTCCCTATCTGCAGAAAGCCAACAAGGGGCAGAGCCGAGCCATCGAGCGCCTCAAGAAGAAAATGTTTGAGAACGAATTCTGGCTGCTCCTCAACTCCCCTGCCATTCCCTTCCGCATCCACAACCGCAACGGGAAGGTGAGGAGGGTGGGCTGGGGCTGGGTTCAGCCCTGCCTGCACACAGCCTGCCACATTCCCCTCTCTCTTACAGAGCTACCTTTTCCTGCTGTCTTCTGACTATGAGCGGTCTGAGTGGAGGGAGGCCATCCAGAAACTGCAGAAAAAGGGTAAGTTTGAGGCTGTTGAGGCTCTTTCAGGGCTCCTGACTTCCCCAGGGGCAACAGGGAAGTCCTGCAGGATCCCATCCTGCTGCTCTCCAATCCCCATGGCCAGCACTGGCTGATTCCCTCTGAAGCTTCTCTCCTGTCTGCTCTCAGACCTCCAGGCTTTTGTCCTGAGCTCGGTGGAGCTGCAGGTGCTCACGGGATCCTGCTTCAAGCTACGCACTGTCCACAACATCCCGGTCACCAGCAACAAGGATGGTGAGTGTCCACTGGGCTGGCTGGTCCCACTTTGCTCCGGATGATGCCAGAAGGAACTGTGGGAGCTGCCCTGGGCTGGAGCACCCTGCAGGGACTCTGTTGTGCAGGGCACAGCTTCCCACCAGGTGGCACTGCCGGAGCAGTGTCAGGCAGAGCCATCCCGGCTGCAGCATGGGGCTGCTTCTGGGATCTCTGCAGCAACCCCGTGGGCTGGGCAGAATCAGAGCATCCCTGGGGTGAGACCCAGCCAGCCCTAATGGGAACCTCCCCCAGGGCTGTCCAGCAGCAGGAGAGCTTGGGATGTCTGGCAGGGATGATCAGCAGCAGGGGATGTGTGTCCTTTTCCAGGTCTTAGGGATGTCCCTCTGGGGGATTAGGGATACTGGGGTGTCACCAGAGGCACCTAGTGCTTGCTGTGGCAAAGGCTGCCTTGGGGACAGCCAGCCCCAAAGCACAGGGGGTGACAGCTGAGCCCTGACACAGCCTTTGCTCTCCCACCACAGATGACGAGTTCCCTGGGCTCTACGGGTTCCTGCATGTCATCGTCCACTCCGCCAAGGGCTTCAAGCAGTCTGCCAGTAAGTGTGGGTGCCCGCCCTTGCTCGGAGGGGCTGGTGTGATTGGAAGAGCTGGGGTCCAGCATATGGCCCCACTCTGCCCACAGTGGTCCCCCATGAGCCAGTAGGGATGTTACTCGGGTGCTGAACAGTGTCTGCTCCCCCAGACCTTTACTGCACACTGGAGGTGGACTCCTTCGGCTACTTCGTCAGCAAAGCCAAGACCAGGGTTTTCCTGGACACCACCGAGCCACAGTGGAATGAGGTGAGGGAGAGTGGGATGCAGGGAGAGGTCTGTGCCCCTTATTTCCCTTCAGCCCCAGTTTTGGAGCTGCTCTGGGGTGCTGAGGCTGAGCCACTCTCTCTCTACACCCCAGGAGTTTGAGATTGAGCTGGAGGGCTCCCAGTCCCTGCGCATCCTGTGCTACGAGAAGTGCTATGACAAGACCAAACTCAACAAGGACAACAATGAAATTGTGGACAAGATCATGGGCAAGGGGCAGATCCAGGTATGTGCTGGGGTTTTTGGACATCATCTCACCCAGCAGTGAGCCTCTTGAGGCCAGGCATCTGAGCTGGGAGGGTTGTCCTGGAGGGTTGTCCTGGAGGGATGCCTGGGAGATGTCTGGCAGCATGGACAGGCAGCTCTGCTTTTGGGAACGGGCTGCAGGAATTGTGGGGTTGAAGGCTGTGAGGTGAGTAGGCATCAGGCATGAAGGTGATGGTCCTGGGGTAGAGTGGCTGCAGGAGAAGGTGGGACAAAATGAGAGGGAGTCCTGTGGAGGTGGCAAAGCCAAACCCACCCCCAGATGTGCATTCAGTCCCAGCTGGGCTGGAAGTGTTTCTGTTCCACTGCCCTCCATGCTGCCTCCCTAGGGGGCTGCAGGGAGGGGGTTAGCAGCTGCCCCAGGGAGGGCTCTGAGCATTCAGCCCCCTGTTCCTTCCCTGTCCCCCTCTGCCACCATCTGCCTTCCCTGTGCCTCCATCAGCTGCTCTTACGGCAACAGGAGTTTCCAGGGCAACAGCTGAGCTGCCTCTGATTGGTGGTTGCCAGGCAGGGAGGATGGAGGCCTGGCCTGCCCTGAGATACTCCCAGGTGAGCAGGACTGGGAGGTTGGAGTGGGGGGCAGGCAGCCTTCAGACCCCACATTCCCCCCAGCACCCACCTTGGCCAGACTGCAGGGAGGTCCAGGGCAGCAGGGGACAGTTCCAGATGGGGGTGCCCCTGTGTTTTCCTGATGAGGACCCTTGGTCTGACTGCCTTCCTGGCTCTGCTGGGGACAGTGTCACGCCTGGGACACAGCCCTGAACCTCAGGCCACTTCAAAGGGCCTGTCAGGGCTGCCTGCTCCGTGGGAAAGTGGCTGAGGGCAGGTCCCAAGGGAGCAGCATGGAAATGCTGCTGGGAAGGGGATGCTGCTGGGGGACAGCACCATGCTGGGCACGGGGTGGAAGATGGGGTCTTGGCTTTGCCAGTGGCTTCTTCATACCTGAAATCACTCATCTGTTGTCCTCTCCCCCAGGAAACAGTGCTGTGGGGGTGGCATTGTGCCAAGCAGGAGGGCCAGGGCAGGGAAGGGGCTCGACGCCCCGCGGGGATCAGTCCAGCTGCGCTCTCGGAAATAGCCTGGATCAACAAACATGAGTCATGCTGGGAGATGCGGGGGTCGGGACAGGGACAGCACAGCTCGTTCCCGCTGTGCAAAAGTTGTGGGGGAAGAAAAGGAGAGAGAGAAGGCCCTGGGGCTGTTTATCCTGAGGAGGATCTGACTGGACAGAGCAGTGTCAGGACTGGGGCTGTCCTCCCATCACCCAGAGCCACAGCTTGGCCTCTGACCTGGGGCTGGGGTGGGTGATGGGACAGGGATGGGGCAGGACGCTATGAGCAGGATGGGCAGTGCTGTTTGTGAGGTGTGGGCTGTAGCCAAGCCCCAGCACTGCCCTCCTGCCCTTTCCCTGAGCTGTTCAGGCAGAGATGCTGCCCTGAATGGTCCTTACTCTGGCTGGTCCCTGGGCTTGTCATGAGCTGCTGCTGGTTCCAGATAGCAGCACTGGCATCAGCAGTTCTGCAAAGGCCTGTGGTGTTTCGGGGGCTGACAAACCCCTCCAACAGCCAGGACTGTGTCCACTGCCCAGCTCTAATGTGATGGCCCAGAAAGGGTCGGTCAGATAGGTCAGTCACAAAAGCAGCTTAGCAGCACCACGGACTGGTGAGAGCAAGTTGGTGTAAGAGGTTGCTGCAGCCCCTCTGTGGGGCGGTGGGGGCCTCCTGAGGCTGTGGAGATGCCATGAGTGGGAGTCACGTCCTGCCAGCACAGAGGACATGGCTGGGTCCATGGAGGGGCTGGGATTGGCACCAGCCTCCTCTCAAGCAGCCTGATAATGAGCCCTGACGGGTGTGCAGCATGGTGAGCGTTAGACCCCTACCCTGAGCCCTGTCCCTGTGGCTGGTAGAGGGTGGGCACTGTGCTGTTCCACTCACTACTTAGTGGAAAGATGTGACTCCTGGTTTGCATTAACCCTGTTTTGTTGTTGTTAACCCTGTCTTGTCTGTGGGTTTTAAGGCTGGAACATGCTGTGGTCGGGGTAGAGCTGCCATGGGGGGTTTGTGTCCTCAGCCCTGCTCTGAGCTGTCCCAGTTGCTCCCAGCACTGGGCTGTGTCCAGTGGGTGCTGGCAGAGTGGCTGGTCCCGTGGCAGGGCGGGTGCTGTGGCAGGGTGACAGATGGATTTTGGGGTGGGCAAAGAGGAGAGAGGCTGGATCTGGCCCCCATGCCCTGGGGAATGCAAGGAGATGGGCAGTGGGTGCATGACGAGGGTCTTAGGGTGATGGGGCAGGATGGAGCAGCCCCTTCCTCAGCCCATTTGATGCACAGGGGGAATGTGGCTGTTGA